TATATATATATATATATATATATATATCCAAAATATAATACAACAGTATGGACTAACGGGAGTTCAGGAAATAACATCATCAATTACCGTAAAATAAATAAAAGGAAGTCACGTTTTTTTCTCTTCTTTTTAATAAGTTAAATAAGCTTTAAAAGAGATAGGTTGATAATTTAAAATCTTAATATAACTTTTAGATTTATATTTTGTTTTCTTCCACTTATTTTTATTTTATTGTATCTTTAGGATTTTTACTATGTCATGTGTTAATGATTTTGAATATTATGCTGTAGTTGATCCTGACCATATATATATTTGAACAACTATTACGGAACTTGCATATTTTCTCTCTGATGCGCTACTCATCTTTTGTGATAATGTAAGTGCCTTATCTTTTACGATGGATCCTATATATCATTCCCGTACAAAGCATCTTGTAATTGATTTTTACTTTGTATGGGAACGTGTAGCCTCTGGATCTATTCATGTTCGCTATCTTCCAACGGAGTGCCAACTAGCTGACATTCGTACCAAGGGCCTATCCTCTCATTAATTTAAGACTCTTCGAGACAATCTTCGCATGTTCCCACACTCGATTGAGGGGGCGTGATAATATACATGTAGCTTTTACCATGTTAGCCTTGGAATTGTTGTATCTTACTCTTCTAAATAAGGGTATTCTTGTCTCTTACACTTATGTACTGCTTGATAAATACGATGACAACCCCAAACATTACAATGGGGCATTATTATATCAATTCTCCCATCTCATGGTCTTCTAAAAAGCAACCCTATGTTTCTCTGTCGTCTACCGAGGTAGAATATAGAGTTGTTGCCACTACAACCTCTGTAGTTGTTTGGCTCACCAACTTTCTTCGTTAACTTCGCTTCCCGCTGTCAAATCCTACTCGAGTTCTCTGTGACAACATAAGCACTACTTACATTTGTTCCAATCTTGCTTTTCATAGTCGTATGAAACATGTTGAAATCAACTTTCACTTTTCGTCAGCTTTTCTAGTCTAAGGTTCTCGAGGTACATCATCTTCATTCTGTGGATCAAGTTGTAGATATTTTTACGAAGCCGCTGCCATGTTCTGCATTTCTACGTATTTATCCCAAGTTGGGTCTTGCTGACATAAGCCCAACCTTGCGTGGGCGTGTAAGGGACTCTTGACTAGTGTCCTGTTAACATAGGAGATTTTGTACTAGTTTATGTGTATCTTTCTGTGTCTTTTTCTATCCTTCAGTTATCCTATTTTCTAGAAGTTTTTTAGGTTTATATCTCTTCTTATCCTTATGTATGTCACACCTCCTTTTTACCACCCGAGAGGGGGTATAGGGGAGTTTTTCTAATTTAAGTGACAATCAAAACGGGATTATTTATTTAAATTCAGAGTCGCCACTTGGGATCCCAAGTCACCAGTTTAAAATCCCGAATCGAGGAAGGTTTTTACTCTAATTTATGGCCTGCGAACACAGAAATCCGGGTAAGGAATTCTATTAACCCGGAAGAAGGTGTTAGGCATTCCCGGATTTCGTGGTTCTAGCACTGTCGCTTAGTGATTATTACTTGTCTTAAATTGTTTAAATACTCATTTTTAGGACCTATATACATTTATCGTTTACCGCTTTTAATCGCTTGATTATTCGTAATTAAAGAATTGAGTTGCGCGTACGTATACTCTTTTCCTTTGGCGCGTCAAAATTAGTCACGCGAACGTGTCCACGATTAATAACGCTTTGTTTATTTATTAAGAAAGTTTGGTTGAAGCTGCGCGAACGCATCCCTCGTGTTACCTCTTTTAGAATTAAATTTGCAATTATGTTACGCGAACGTATACATAATCATAATAATAGTCTTAATCGAGCCTAAAATAAACTACGAGTGTTTAAGGTTATTTTAACACTAAGTTAATATTAATATAAGGGCCATAGCTTATGGATTTTATTTGTGTATGGCATACCTCGAATTATTCTTTAGAGAAAAATTACGCTTAATTAAAGGGTCTAAGGATATTCTTATCTAATAATGATGTGCACTTAGTAGGCAGCTATAATTGTAGAAGAAAAAGGTTTGATGTGCGTGATTGGGCCCTCAATTTTTAAAACCGATTCTGGTGTGAGCCTAAACCCAAGACTATTTAAAAGGGAAAACTGGGCTCGAAATCGAGCTCAGAGATGCAGCCAGGTAGATGGTCGCCTTTCTAAAATGGGCCAACCAGCCCAAGCCCAATTCTATGATATCTACAATAAACAGTTTTGGAAAAGGGTAAATGCTGAGGAAGGTTGGGCTCAAGATTGAGCCCAAAAGAGAAAATGTACACAACTAGAGGTCAAACAGGCCTGGCCATGATTCCAGGCGCCCCTGTTTGGGCCAGGCCCAACCTCAACTCTTGGTAGGAGTATGTCAAAATTAAGGCCCTACTGAGTCCCCCAAATGGCCATAGCACACACATAGCAACAAAATATACAAATCCTAAAATTACAACACTAACAACCATATTATAAACCTTGAAATTATTACATTGATATTAATGCTAACAACATGAATTTGAACTGTGAAACTATTCAACCACTACATATACTATTGTTCTAACGCGTTAAAATTCTGAAAAATATATACATGCTGAGTACTGAAAATTAATCACTTGACATAAAAATGATCCATAATAAAAGGCTCCTAGACTGACTCAAAGTTTGGGCCTATAGACTAGGCCCAAATCATCTGAGGTTAGTCTGTCACTTGGGCTACAAATTCAACCCCTTTTTTTCCCATCAAATGAGCAGCCTTTGGGTCTGCTGAGTGGGCTCAAAACCCAGCACCACTACTACTTTGTAAATCATGACAAACACATAATTA